TATTTTGATTAATGCCCATCTTTACAGATGGAAATCTTACTGACATTTGGGGAATGCACATGCTTGCCATTCCTACAGGGTGAATGTGTATGTTCTAAGCTTTCCCTCCAGCATCTGTCACTGCTTACCAAGAAGAAAAAAATAATAAAAGCTGGATCACAGAAACAACTTTCATGTCTTTACCACCAAGTATACACAGATTTCCTCTTAATAAGCAGGATGGCTTCATGAGGAAAACATTTTTTGCATGATTCTTTCATATGTTTATTACAAAGTACACACAGATTACAGCATGGTAAATACCTCCCACAGTGCACATTTCCAAATGCACCCAGTTAATCTGTCTGAACTAAACGTTCTATCTCTAAAATAGCAACTTTTCAGAAGAAGGAAAAACATTATGTTTTTTAAGAAATACAAGATTTTTTTTTCAGAGTAATTTTAGACCATTTCTATTGGCCCACTTGTCATTGAGTGTTCACACAATGTAAAGGTAAGCTTGCGCCAAAACAAACTTATTAAAAAATGAAAATGAAGTGTAGAAGTAAAGCACACAAAAAATAGGGGTTTTGATCTGACAGCTATGGTCACACTTCATATATATATATATATATATATATATATATAAAAATATATATATATATAAATATAAAAGGGATATCATCTTATCTTTCAATAGCACACAGAAAGCCCTGTTAATGCACGCAATGCAGCGTTTTTGATCAAGTGCATATTTGAAGGCTTCCATTTGTTCTGTGATCTACTGTGGGAGAGCATTCCACATTTGTTCCCAAAGCTGACAGTCTGCGGCGTGGTGAGCTGCCTTGGATATTTCTGTGACCTCCATGTGAGTGGCGTCCTCCAGCCACTTCAACCCACAGGCGCTCAGCTGTTTCTGGCCATTACTCTCTGGTTGGGCCACCAGACGCGCAATTCTCCTGTTGCTCAAAGACTCAGCATGTTTCATCACACACTGACTGTGGTGGTACCCATGTGGATTACCCTGGTGCCCCACGTCAGAGATATTCCTCTACACCGAAGAGACGGTGGGATAAGCGTTTTCTCCAGGGGAGGAAATATGTTTTTCGTTAAGGGGCAATTTTTTTTGGCCTCAGTGAGTGATATTTAAGGATAGTTTATATATAAATGGGGGCACATTCCACAATCTACAAAACATTTGAACTTAATCCCAATAAAAACTACTAATATGATCTCAAATGCAGAAAATAACACTAACACTCACCAGTTCAATGGACCCATTAAATAATTACCAAAGAGATTAATGCAGTCAGCACAGGCAACACCCATTTAAATCTAGAGTCAAACTCACTTCCACTTCTCAATTATAGGCAGGCTGATGCTCCGGCTATTTGGATTGGTACATTCATCTTGCCAAGTCAAGTTTAGAGGATGAAGCCATGTGCAAAGCTTTTTATTAGGTTCACAGTGACATTCACTCACACTAATTTATTACATTTTAGAGATGACGACAACAGAATCATACTGATGTTGGCTTAGATTTGACTGATATATTTTATACTAATATTTGATGACCAACTTATTTCGTTCTAGAAGAGCAGAAAGTTTAGGTGACACTGGGCTACTACCCTAAAATATCTCCATTTCATTCTGTCTACTGTATTTATAACCCTCTAAACATAACTTACATTTCTCTGTGATGCAAAACCAGGTAGATTTAGTCCCAAAATTCTTCAAAGCATTGACAGCAGCAGATATGTACAAGAAAAATATAGAATATGGTATTGGCTCAATATTCCCACATGGGTGTATCCCTATTACTGTTTTAGACTATTTATATTGATTTATTACTTTTACAACAAGTTATTTTGGAGGGTATTTTTTGCTTCTGTATTTTTCTGCACTGCCATAAGGGGCAAAAATGTTGAATATGGAAGCACTTTTGCCTTTACCTTTGTATACGTCCCATGGTGATTTTCTTATACCTATCTGTTTTGGAGTATCTTGTCTTTTTGTACTATATCTAAATTCAGACTGGAGACTCTTCTATAACTGTACCATCCTCTGACAGGGCCTTTAAACGCACCTAACGGTCTCACCCAAAATGGCCTTAGGAGATTCTCACAGACAGCAATGTGAAGAGAGAGTTCTCAAGGCTGTCGTCCATTTACTTTTTGCGACTTACTAAAACGTGTAGTCATTTGAGTATTCCAGGAGGACCTGTATGCTTTTCACAGAGTCCTGAAGAACATTTGCTCCGAAACTGAGGGAGGGAGAGAAAGCAGCTGACACGCTATGGCTTTAGGGGGAAACACTTTTGGCACTTTCTCTTTTTCCAAACAAACCTTTGTTTTCTTACTAGACTGATATATAATTACACTAGACTGATATACAGTTACATATCTTATGTGTCGCTGGTGGGGGCATGTAGGTTGTGATTTCAGTAAACACCAAGCAACATCAGCAGTTTTATTGTTAGCCATGCTCATATACTGCAGTAGCTTTAGGCCTAAAATGGAAGTTTTCCACTTGCACAGGTGTTTCAGCTAAGACTGTGCTAGGAAATCTCACTGTTTACACTAAGCTAAAACAGTTCCATTGTGTGCACTGTTCAGTTCCTGCATTTCCTCATATTGCTAGAATCTGGCACGAGACGGCAGATAACTTCCAGAGCACTGCTGCTCTTCCTAGAGACACAGCTTTCAAACTTACAAGCAGTATCAAAGCGCTTAGAACCTCAGCCCTTTTATTTGCTTTCCATGATGGTCTGACTTGAGACAAATGTCACTGTCTCAGAGGCTTTGTGACCATCACCTTGAAAATAAAAATATTAAAAAAAAAAGTCTATCAACAAGCATGAACCTTTAGAATTACTGTGTTTCAAGGACAGGCATTTTTTTTGCCCAAGGGAAAACATAAACAGCCTTCTTTTCACACTGTGCAAAACACACAATGGACTCAGAATCCTTGAGGAGCAAAAATGTTTTCAAGTAATCAGTAGTAACAGCGAGAGTGAGAGCGAAAGAGTGATGGTAAGAGAGAACGAGAAAGATAAAGAGAGAGTGCAGATGGTGCTCAAAAGGTAATTCCCTGATTTTTAAAAATATTTCTGCATAATTAAATTGTTAAGACATAAAAAAAAATTGTTCAGAGTAGTTTGATGTGAAATGTGCCGTTCTAGAACAACTTCCTGAGACAGAACTGTTCACAGTAGTCTCTACATTACATCTAAAATTGTATAGACTCACTGGTATGGCTACATTTGCTTTGTAGAGATCACAACTGTTGGTCCCCATCCCCAGCAGTGTATGAAAAACCAGAGACGGTAAATTTCTCTTCAATAAACCACTTCACATCAAACCGCTCTGAATGACTGTTTACATCTCAACCATTAAATTATGCAGACACGTTGAAAAATGCCTGGCATTATATCAGACACACATTCGTTGTAGGAGCAGCCAATCTAATTCACACCCTGATTGACCAAAGCCAATGCACACAGAGACAGCGGTCACTTCCTCCTGCCCCCGCACTTCCAAACCTCCTATTGTTCATACCTCTTCCTACACCGAGGACCTCAAAACAAACAAAACAGATAAACAGTAAGCAAGCAAACAAAACAATAAAGCAAATAAATAAATACATAATGAAACAACTCAGCAAGCTATACTTCATATCAAATTGGATAAAGGATGCTACAATTCTATTTCAATTGACCTATAAGTTAACATATCCACCTTTAGAGAGCCCACTGTTCTAAGCAAAAGCCGTAAAACAGGGCGAATTATTCCACCCACAGATGAGAATCTCTTGGCTAAATCAGCTAAAAACCACTTGGGCAACAATCTGGCTGTTGCTTAATTTAATTAGGCAAGAAAATCTGAGCTGATGGTCTTCAACTGTTTCAAGATGCTGTAAGTAAAGATTCAGTTTAGATTAAAACATTAGATATAAAGCGGAGCTGCCGCGCAGAGTTAACGGTTAAAGTCATGACACGGGTGAGGTTTAAAAAAACAAATCAGAGCATTCAGTTCACGCCTAACGGCTCCTCACGCGCACAGTCTACATGGCAAACAACGCGCAGTTGTTTTTCCCACCCGTATCCAGATAAATCCTTCAGTGCTGTGTCGTGATTGGTCAGCAGTATCCCACCACCTGCGCTGTGATTGGTTGTTAGTTCTTACGCTCAAGCAGTCCGCCGACAATCTTAACTACTAGCCAATCGTAGTGTAGGATGGGGTGCCTCTCGGAATACGGGTGGGGAAAATAACGCGTGGAAAATCGTTATTCCGCATCAGCAATTCCACGAACAACTTTCATCGTCTCCTCTCTTCGGTTCCCGGAATGGGGGTCCTACATTTAAACTACATTAATTCCGAGTATCACAACACGTAACTGTTAGTCTGCTTGTTTGGCCATCATTTCAAAACTTTTCCTAAGCACAGGCGATAGATGGAGACTGTTCCAGACCAAATCTGGATCGATTAAAATTCCCCCAAAAGAAGTAGTGTCCTTCCCAAACACCGTGTTAAACAGAGCTGTGTTTCAGATAGCGGTCATTATGTTGCTACACATCATCTAAAAAGCGGATAAATGGCCGGATCACTGCACAAAAGACAAGCTCGAGGGGATTTATTTCTGTGGGTAGACGAGCAAAGCCAGACAGACAGGGATGCGTGTCCGGCCAACGATGCGAATCACTCCAGCTCCAACCAACTGAACAGAAGTTACACCAAACTGAGCGCCTTAAAAGCGCGTACACATCAAACAACTTTACGCTGAGATACTTCAATTGACTCCAGTGAATAAAAGTTCGCATCTCTGAGAAGCGCACGCTAGCAGGCTAACTGAATAGTTTAGTTGGCTTAACAGGCAGCCACTTCCCTCAGACATGTCGCTACTTTTATGTGACGGGATACCGGAGTGAAAATTCGGTTAAGAGAACGAAACAAACTTCCCATCATCTCCCCCGCTTCCTTTCACGAAGAGAAAAGGCATTTACGCAGACATCTTTTACTCACAGTGAACGGTGAGGAGAGCCAGCACGCAAGGCAGCCGTGTTAACGCCATCTTGGAGGGGATGTAGCGTTGAGTGTAGCGGTACATGCGCACAGTAGGGAGAGAGAGAGAGAGAGAGAGAGAGAGAGAGAGAGAGAGAGAGAGAGAGAGAGAGAGAGAGAGAGAGAGAGAATACACCTACAGAGAGTGTATACGCCTACAAAGAGAAAGAGAGAGAGAGAGAGAGAGAGAGAAAGAGAATATACATCTACAGAGAAAGAGAGAGAGAATACACCTACAGAGAGAGAGTGTATACGCCTACAAAGAGAAAGAGAGAGAGAGAATATACATCTTCAGAGAGAGAGAGATAGAGCATCAGCTTATGCAGGACACATATACACACACACACAAACGCACACACACACCCTCCTGTTGAGATCTCTAGGCAGCTATTTATTTTTAAAAATATTGTTCTGATTTTTAAAGGGATACAAATGTTGTACTCAGTAAACCAACATCTATTTCTGCTTGAATATTCAGTCGTTTACATTTCGTCAATATATACCTATAGCTACATTAGTGGTTCGGGAATAGCTCCGTTAGTCTGCGTAACCCTTTTTGATTTGTTTAATTGCTTGCTTGGGTGGATTATGGGTTTTTTTTTTTTTTTTTTTCTTGTTTGCTCGATTTATTCATTGATAAAATCAAGGTGTAAAATCCCATTGAGAACGAAACTGTTTCTCAGTGAGACCTGTTCACACGGTGTACGGCAACATGTTGAAGAGCCCCTGCGAGTTTGATGGAAATATTGTTAAAGTTTAAACATGTCATTGCTTCCCCAGCCCTTGTGGTTGATGTATGAAAAAACAATCCATTTTGAATTTATTATTTTTGTGATGTCACAAAAACCAAGACATTTACATTAGTGCTATTCAAGATAACACACTAAATTATTAATGCCATGTATTTTTTAATGCTGTTGACACTAGTTTGACTCTTCAGACCATGTATTAGTTCAGCCTGAAGCTCAGCTGCTTGTGCAGTGTTGCTATGACTCTAGACTGTAGTCTATTCTAATATAGCTTTTATCTGGCAAGTTCCATTGATGACTTTCTTGATAAAAACTATTTCCAGCTACTGGTGAATTTGGTTATCACTGAAGCTCAACAGTCTGAAGTATCATTGGCATAGAAAATACACTGCTGACTGCAAATTTTAAACAGAAACAACTGAAATCACAAATGTAATCTTTAGTCTGACGTGCATGCTTGTGAAAAGGAGTCAGATTCTGGAATTGGCAATAATTTTAGTAATTAGGATTACACATGACAATGCCCATGGGAGTCTTATGAGAGAAATCAACAAGCAGCAAACAAAATCAACAGCAAAGTGGAAAGCTACAGTTCCCCTCGAGAGCTTCCACTCTAACAAGAATCCACAAGCTGTATGAATGAAAAAGAGAGGGATGCAATAGTAGGAGGAGAACTTGCAGCCACTGGGCTCTCACTGGACATCAGTGATGAAAAGTGGAGACTATACGCATGTCCCACCCCTATGGAAATCACATGATTTTCATAATCAGGTTCATGTGACCCATGTGATGATGAAAATAAGGTTACTGAAAGTAATACATGTATTCTGATTAAGCTTATTATGTCCACTCAGATAGTTATAGCAAAATTCACTGCTTTTTAATGGGAAAATACAGAACTGGCTCTTGTACAAAACTGACTAAATATGAAACTAAATATGTACATGTTACAAAAACAAATCAAGTTGATATTAATTGAACTGAACCATTTAAAAATGTACTTAACGTATTAGGATTGAAAGAACAATATTATGCAAAGGATTAAATCAGCCAAGTCAATAAAGTCAAATAAAAGAGAATGAATTTTTTTTCCATATTGTATTGGATGTATGTCTGGTATCACAAATGAAGTCTGTTGCACTTAATGTGAGATGTAACTATTTTGAGTTAGGAGAATGTTTTTGATGATTTCATTTATTCAAATGGAATCACTGAGTTGAATATTAGTCTGTTGCTAATAGGCACTTGAGAGATTGGCACAAAAGACAAGATTTTATTGGCTCTAATTTTGTGGATCTGTTTGCATATTGTGTGTGTCTTTCCCTTTGTTTTACTTTCTATATTTTAGTTCATTGCTTAGCCAGCTATCGGTGGTTGTAAGAGTATGTTGCTGTATTCTTTATTGTTACGTGTGATTCTAAACCAGCTGTGCTCTACAGTGACCACTTTTAAACCAATGCTAGTAAGATAAGTTGAACGAACATAAGTTAAATCAGCACAAGTAAATCAATGAACTTAAGTTTAGCCAGTTTTAGTAAATTGTGTTGGATCAACAGAATTGCTTTATTTTGAAAGAAAGCCATATAACTGTGTGGAAATTCTTTCCATAGTCCAGTAAAGTTCAGGTAAAGAATAATTTTTTGACTGTAGAGTAACTTCAAAGTATAAACTTGTGATGTGAAGGTGGTCTGGTTCTCAACATAGAGAGTTTATCAATACTGAACACTGAGAACCATCCACTTTCGTCTGCAGTATTCTTAGTGCATTGCATTCTTGTGTGTTGTTCTCTCACCAGATCAGGATTTGAGGATTAAGTTCATGTTACTAAACTTGGGACGTATGATGCTCTTTCACTGAGCTGGGCAACATATGCTTTGATGTCCAGACAACTGTATCACCTCCTTTGCTGCTCCTTTGAGCTGGAAGTGAGCCTTGTGTTTTAGAGAAGGGAAAACATGTTTCGAATACAAAGCATTCTTCAATGAATCAAAGAACCGCAGATATGTGACAAGGAGGGATTTACAGTTGGGAGGGGAGCGTTCTTTCCTTGTGTATGATCCAGACATTCCTGTGGACCTCACCATAACTGACAAATAATAGTGCACTAACTAAAACAAAGATACAGCATCGTAGAAAACTGACATTTTTTATCATTTGAACATTCATACAAACTGTTCTAGAAAAAAAGATAACTCTAAAAAATAATAAATGGTTGGAGTTTATTGAAACTGGAAACACTGAAGGGTCCATATAATAAATAAGCTGAAAACCAGCTTGTTCTGAATTTGTTGTTTTTGTGATGTCACAAAACTCAACACATTTACACATGTCTGCAAATTCAGCGGTTTAGCTCTGCCCATTTACATTGAACTGCTTTTTAAATGAGGCACAATACAGGGCAGCCAATCAGAGCAGAGGTCAATCACATATATTAGCCTTATAAACACAGTAACAGCCATTTTAATTCTGATGGATAAAGAAAGGTTAGAAAATAGTCATGTAAAAATGAATTATGAATGTTTTCATAAAACAGTATGAGCTTCATAAGTGGACATCGGGGGGGGATAACATATAAGAAAAATGTAGGATTTCAATCGCATTTCATGTTGCTATATCAAAGTTATATATGCTGATTTTATTGATTGAATTCAATGCAAGCAGGGTTGGGATGAGAATGAAAGTTCCATTTTGTAAAGGCAGTATTCAGAATACGGTTACCTTTTCAAATTTTAGGATAATACTTTTAGAATACTTACCAACTAAATTAAAAAAAAATATATATATATATATATATATATATATATGTGTGTGTGTGTGTGTGTATTATCTTTAAAAGAAACATCAATGCTCGTTTATTAATTTGTTTATCAAATTTGAAAATCAGCACACAGCATGTAGAAAACATGGTCAGCAGATGAATAAAGAATTATGGCTTCTTTATAAACACTAAAGTTCCTGCTAAAGCCTGAGTAGACTGATAAATCAAGCTGATGAGGCATTTATTAATCTCAGTGTTACTGAGCTCCTTTGAGGGATGGTCAAACTAATAATCTCCTCAGTAGTGGACATGGTTGCAAAACATAAGCTCAGCATTAATGTTGTACTGGGTACTGAATATGTTACTTTTTATGTAACATAATGGAATATGTTACTGAATACATTTAGGACAGTGTAGTCAGTATTCAGCCATCACTACTTTCATACAGTGTTTATTTTCTTGGTTATGTGCCCTTACTTCACAAGTTGAATTTGTTCCTGCACAAGAAATGTCACAGAGGGAGTAAAGTGTTGAGAAAGAGCAGATGATTTAGCACACACAGGACCCGAGTTGACTCAGGGTGTGCCTCATGCTTTGCCACGTTTCCCAAAAGTATTTCAACTTTGCCTTGCTTATGTTGACATAGCGAGGTTTTGGTTATTGCTGGAGCTTATCAGCAGCAAGGACACACAACAGGAGAGCCCCCCGTTCTGCCAGCTTTGCAGAACCCAGGACGAACTTCTGACTTCAGCCGCAGTGCAAGGCAGGACTCCGCCATGCTGCCACTCAGAGTGGAGTTGATGTGGTGGAAACACATGCCCAATGAGAGACCTGATTGGCGAGGAGGTGAAGACAAGGATCAAGTCGGTGTATTTATATCTCAGATGTTTCATCTTTTATATTTAGAGTGCATCAGTCAGGTCAACTCAAATCTACTGTCATTTTCGTCTGACTGAAAAAGAGATGAAAATGACATTTATGAGACAACCTTAAGATGAAAAAATTGGACACTGGCCAGCAGCAAACATTTTCAGTGATGCTTTCATAGGCCCTGCACGTATACGATTGCCGACTAAATAATTCTAAGCTTAAGTAAGCAAAAGGATTGGGAGAAAAGAGAGCAAGAGTGCAAAGTATGGTCGTTCGGCCTAAATATATAGGGCATTTTTCCCCCAAGGAGGCAGTAATCGCTTCTGGTGTTTGGTAAATCTGTTACAAGCGTTTTCTGGATGTGGTTATCATAAGCGTTTCACTCATGGGAAAGTCCTGTAAATGATGTAAAGAGTTCCTAGCTTGGATGCATGAAAAAACTTTTAGTCTTGGAGAACCAAAGTGCAATGTTTGTGGTGGGCCAATAGCACAAAAAACAATATACAAATAAACAAGCTAGGTTAGTTTCAAATTATCTAATTTTTTATACTCTGTTACTAAATTGCAAATACAAATTTAAAAGGAAAATAAGAATTTAATGTTATATTATACTGTGTAAAAAAAGTGAGAGATCACCCTTTCATTAATTTTATTTCCAATCAAAATGGCTATTAAGTACAAGTTA